AGGTTCAGAATCTAAAGAGCTCCTCACGTGATTGGTGGATGGCTCCACTTCCTGTATTACCTCTTTGTAATCTCATTCACACCAATCGCTTCCAAGCTTGTCTTGGAATGGGCGTGTCTGGGAACATCTCCTGCACCTCAGGCCGGGGGTTCCAGGATCACCAGGATATGTAGAGGACTGGAGCACGACAACGAGGCCGGGATGAGGAACTGAGGCCCGGAGGGAGGGAGGGGCGAAGTGACCTGGCGGGACCCGACCTATCTGCCCCAGCTGTTGTGGAACTACAAGTCCCATGAGGCATTGCAAGACTGACAGGCACAGGCATGCATCATAGAAACATGATGGGTTTTGTGTGTTCACCGCAGCTGCAGGGCCGAGGTCGCCCTCCCCTGAATGGCTGTAACCCTTCTGATTGGATCAGACCTACGATATGGAGCAATTCAATGTAGTATGAAGGGGTCCCTCATCACGGGGCCACATGTACAATATGGCTGCTGCTCTGTGTAGGGAGTCCCTCCTCATGGGGGCGGGGTCACAATATGGATGCCGCTCTGTGTAGGGGGGTCCTTCAAGGGGGCGGGGTTACAATATGGATGCCGTACTGTGTAGGGGGGGTCCCTCCTCATGGGGGTGGGGTTACAATATGGATGCCGCTCTGTGTAGGGGGTCCCTCCTCATGGGGGCGGGGTTACAATATGGCCGCCGCCTCGTCTGACATGTGACGGTTTTGGGTTTTTGTCTTGCAGAGTGACCAGCAGCTGGACTGTGCCTTGGATTTGATGAGGCGACTTCCTCCCCAACAGATCGAGAAGAACCTCAGCGACCTCATCGATCTGGTAAGAGACGCGGTCACATGACTTGTGTACACGCCCCCATCATACTGCCGGCCCAGCAGCAGCGGTAAGATGTAGAATGTAGGGGGCGGTCCTGGTAGGTGTTTGTCGCCCCCGTCTCAGACCCCTCCGGTGATATAACACAGCGGTGCCGACTCCTGCACAGAATACAAAGCAAAGGCCTGTGTGCGAAGCCTCTGCTGGAACCTGCCATTCTCCCATCCCAGGCTACAGATTGGTTCCGCTTCACCGCCCCCCTCAGCTCGGCATCCAGCCCGGGACTCCGGGGTCAGCTTCCGGTGGATGCACACAGGTGTTTTTCTGACCCGCTCCCTATGAATGGGGGGACAAAGCATCACGAGTTGCCCCACCCCACCCCGGCCCACATATGCTCATTAGCAGAACATCCTGATCCACAGCGGCCGTCCTGTTCTCAGCGCCGCTCATTAGATCACATTAGGGGCCCCGCCA